ACGGGCATGCTCCTCCCCACTGTTGAAAACGGTTGACTAGATTAATCCCCTCATTTGACGATGAAAGACTGACGTCTAAGGATTCCCGGCGTGCTCAGAACTTAGTACATTAGGAGGAGAACTTGGTCAAGAACCCAAACATGCTGCTGGCAGGGCAGTGCTCTGCCCACAACACTCCCCCGTCATTTAAGGCTAGTCTTCGCTCATGCAAAGACGACATCTCACCCAGTGTCAGCTCCCTGTCTCTGACGATGGTGGTATTCAGCAAAGTTAGTTTAATTTTATATCCTCACAGCAGAACAGAGGCCGAAGCCAGGAGAGACTTCTCAGGCTTGGCTAGTCCATGGGTCCTGGTTTGTTTTTATTCTCTTTATTTGGTTCTGGGCATTTGTACTGTCATGACATAGAAACACTTCCTGGGTGTAACTTTTAGGGAACAGGTAGGGCAAAATCTAATTGGAAAACAGACTCATTTTTGAAACAAAGTTTGACTCTTTTATCACACTGAAAGCTCCTATTGATGTTTTTCCCTGAACAATTCAACAGGTCCTCTTAAACTTCTAATTTCTTCTTCTTTTAAACAGTGTATCCGGGGGAGAGCTGTTCGATCGGATAGTGGAGAAGGGATTTTACACCGAGAAAGATGCCAGCACTCTGATCCGCCAGGTCCTGGATGCCGTGTACTATCTCCACAGAATGGGCATCGTCCACAGAGACCTCAAGGTGACGACGTCGCTTAGCAACATCTTCCAGGCTCTGTCCAAGCTGCGGTGCACCTGCCCGCAAGGACTGGTCCTCCAGGGAGGAGTGGGGCTGCTTTGTTGCAGACATGGGTGGGATGAATGTCATCAGGGCCTTTGGGACCCAGAAGTAGCTTGGAGAAAGATGGAGGTCAATATGGCTGGCCATTGTTTATGAGATTTTATAACCATTATGTAGCCAACGGGCCACAGGAAGGGAGGTTGTAGATTGCTTCAAGCCCATATGAGAGGTAGTTCTGTTCACGATATATGGACCCCAGAAACCCCTTCTAGTGCAGTTCTTCGGAGCCTTCTCCCAGTTCCAGCGCCCTTTCAGCACAACACTCCGGATAGGAGAAGGGGCGCAGTAGTCCTACAGCATGAGAGGAGAAAGGAGGGAAACAGAAGCTTAACAGGACGGACGGGCTGAAAGAGCTACAACTGCAGCCTTCTCCTGGTGCCCTGCAGGTTCCTTTCCTATCTTTTCCTTATGAGGTTTTGGCATATGGACCCTTCACCCCGTAACACTGAGGGATCTGGGCCTTACGTGGGCACCTTAGCATGACGTCCCCGCCTTCAAGTCTATGTGGCTTCCGAAAGGTAGATACCAAACACACGGTACCAAAGGGATCTCACACACATGAACTTGGGAAACAGTGAAAAGCAGAGCCGGGGCTGTAACGTGGCTGCAGATCTAGCACCTAGAGCTTCCTGCGCCAGTTAGGACAGAGATTCCACCCCGGCACGTGTGCATCCGCCACTCCCGTCGTAAACACAAGGATCGCGTGGCACTGAAGCCATGCTTTACACAACCGTGGGAAATTGAAGTTTAAGAACCAATCGTCAACATTTGTCAAAACAGAGTGTCAGCACCTGCTTATTATCTGCTACCGGGTATAAAGGGGTACACTGGTCTAGCATTTCCTTTCCTGAAGACTCACTGTTAAGTTTTCTCTGCATGGTACCGTGTTGCACTGATGAGGACAGCGGCTCCCAAATGTTAGCACTCGTCAGAATTGTCTAGAGGGCTTATGAAAACAGACTGCTGGCCTCACCCCAGGGCTCTGATTCTGTGGGTCTCCAGTGCGCGTAAGAACTTGGGCTTCTACTGGGTCCGCAGGCAGTGGGGGTGCTGATCTGGGAACTGCTCCTGGAGAACCACTAGATGAGGGTATTTGGGGACATCAGTAGGTTTCTTACAGCCTTCACCTTTTGCCGGCTTCCGGACAGGTGACGTGGCTGGAAGCCTCATTCGCTGATGTTCAGGGCCTGGAGGCCCTTCGGAGAGCTGGGGAGGAGCTAGCTCAGCCTACCTGCCCCTCTGTGCCAGCCAGCCAGCCAGACAGCAGGGCCTTCTCTGTCCTCTCGTGCCCACAGGTGCCAATTCTGCACTTCCAGAACTCACCAGGCAGCTCTCTCTGAACAAGTTAGTGTGGTGACCACAGAGATGTGGTGTGATAGGCTGTCTGTACTTATTAGAAACATAATTTCTAAGCAGGTAGGCGGTAGCCGGGAGGAGCAGTGTTTATTTCCCCTTTTAAGGGGAGATTGGCTATATGGGAGATACTGTTTTTCACTCCCACACAGCGCTTTTGGAGAAGTTCTTGCAGCTCCCACCTTGCGGAGCTCTAAGATCACCAGCTTTGTGATTGTGGAAAGAACACGGCCATTTTAGGGCCTTTTTGTGACCTCTTTTCAGAGGCACAAAGGAGTGGGATCTATGGGGGAGGAAGTTGAAATTTGACTATTAAATTTTTATAAACATCTGAGAAAATTAAAATAACGCGTATAATCTAGGACAGAGCAGTAGAGAGTGTGATCACATTAACTGAAGATTAGCGCACAATCCAGGGTGCTGCCCCACCACCCGTCTGCAAATAGACCTCCTTCTGTCTCCGGAAGCTACTAGAGACAATCAGTTGTTCTTTTTTCGAAATAAAGGGACTGACAGAGGCAGTGCCTACTGCTACCACCCGGGATTAGAGTAGGGTTCCTCAGTCCTGCACTGCCATCCTTTGGGTCTGAGTAATTCTTTGTTGTGGGAGACGGTCCTGGGCACGCCAGGGTGTGGAGCAGTACTACTCCTGGAGTTGGAACAACCGAAAATGTCTCTAGACATTGCCACTTGTCCCCTGGAGAGCAAATTGTTCCCATTTGAGAATCATTGGATTTGGAATGTGATTATGTATAACATCCACTATACCAGAAGTGTGTTGTCAAATCTTTTTAAAGCTTGGTAGGTAGATTATTATAAAGGGTTAGGATTGATATTTCAGCTCAGCTATTGGCCACCAATTGTCTTGCAAACATGCCACAATATACAGAAAAATAATTTTTCTAGTGAGTCCTGGGCCTCTTAGGACCCCAGGAAGAATTGCAGTATGGTGTGGGCAAGGTCGTCCCTGCAGCCCCCACCCCCACACCTCCCACCCGGCCCTCCCATCCCCTGGGAAAGCCCTGCTGTCTTTACCTAGTCTTGAGACAATGAAAAGTATTGATCTAAACGATGAATGGCCAGTTGATTTAACCCTCCTTGGGGGTAATTGTTCTTCAAAAGACCACTTAATTGACCCAAATGAATCTCTTGTAGTGGGAATATACAGATAGTTTTGGCCCTTGGGCAATCACTTGCCTGGATGAAGCTTTGTTTAGCAGTAGGAAATCACTTACTTTCCATTCCTTCTTATCCCCTCTGCAGCTGCAGAAGGCTTGGGACAAGGATTAAAAATCAGATACAACAACAAAGTCTTCTCTAGCACTCATGATTGGGTCCTTATTGTTTATCAAAGGATAATCTCTAAACATTCAGAGAAAACATGAGCCACATGCAGTTTAGGATTAGAGCATTCCCCGTTTGCTAAGCATTACGGGATTCCCGTTTCCACCATTGATTGGCCATTTTACTTTCTTTAAAAACTCATTGAAAGCATCCTTCAGCATACATTCAATTTTCTTCTAATGTCTTGCTTTGTCCACAGAATTAGTGTCGCTGCGACTGTTAAAAGCCATCCCTTGTTGTGTTATTATCTTGGGTGGATAAATAGTATTTTTTCTTTGGGTTCTGTTAAATAACAACATTATTTTGACACTTGTTAAAATGTTGAGGAAGCCTTCATTCAAGACTATTGCAATAGAGGAGAGAGATTGAGCCCAACTCTGAAGGCATCAAAGTGGGAATTTAGAACCCAGGAAGGATATGGGGGTAGGAGGCTGGTGGATGGAAAATGACTGAGAGATTAGGGGTCGGGGATTCTTGCTAAAGGCAGGCCAATGACTTGGACGTTGACAAAGGCTCTTTGTTTTGAAAGACTTGAGTCGGGCTCCTTTGAGTCTGCTTTCTGACTAGGGCCCGCTCTCTGGCTCTGAAAGGTCCAGTTTTAGCAAAATTCCTGCTGAGTCAGTTTAGCACAAATCCCCCACCCTTGATAGGTCTTGTGGTTGGGTGAGTCTTCCACAATCAACCCAGCTTTAAAGGAGTTTGTAAATTTGTTTGATTATTTTCTTTCTAGCCTGAAAATCTGTTGTACTACAGTCAAGATGAGGAGTCCAAAATAATGATCAGTGACTTTGGATTGTCAAAAATGGAGGGCAAAGGAGATGTGATGTCCACAGCCTGTGGGACCCCAGGCTATGTCGGTAAGGACAGAGCACGTATGTGCTTGTGTGTGTGTGTGTGTGTGTGTGTGTGTGTGTCTGTCCCCGTGTGTCAGCTCCATCAGTCTTTAGCGTTTGAGCCTGGCACGTGATCACAACTGCCTTCATTTCCCTGAGCAAAGAATAAAAAGATTGAGAGATGCTGGAACGAGTTATCAGGGAAGTGATTTCCCCTGAAAACTTTTGAACAGCTGGGGAGAAATCCCGCTGGATTTGGTGGTGGGCCTGGCTGGAGGCTGGGAGTTAATTCAGATGAGTCCACAGATCCCAGTACCGGAGATACTGCGTGTCTCTGCTATCAGGTGATTCATAGTGAGCCACTGAGATAACAATGAGGTGCACACACAATAAAACATTCAAACTTTTGACATAGAAGCAGCCAGGAAAAAAATATTGATATTAGGAACCTGGTTCAAACCTTGACAAGGTCACTCTCATGAATCAGTCAACCCTGGTCTGTGCTGGCAACACCAAACACTAAACTTTTTCCTAAAATCATAACCCAGGTCCTATGTCCTAAACATACAAAATGCGGAGAAGTCTGCTGACGGATCTGAACACTTGGGTACTGAGATTGGTCTTTTGTCTTCTGGGGACCTGGAGAAAGGCCATTGGAACTGTTGTGACTCTTTCGAGATCTTCATTTACATCAATGTGTCATTCATTCAGCAAATGCACGTCAAGTTGCCGCTGTGTCCCCAACGCTGTCCTAGGCTCTGGGGTTGGGTGTTGAGACCGGGAACGAGACAGACATGGTGGTGTCTGCCCTCATGGAGTTTAGGTTCTAGCTGGAGTGACAACAAACGAAGAGAAATGAACAGGTCGTTTCATATCATAAGTGCTACGAAGAAAATAAAACCGAGGGCGTGCCAGTGCGTAGCCAGGGTGAGGAGGAATGAGGACTGGGCTGAGAGGACAGGGGAGACTTGGGCATTCGCCTTAGTGACGAGAAGAAGCCGGCCACGTGGGAGTTAGAGGACAGCCTTCCAGGTGGCATAGCCGGCTTATGCAAGAGCCCGAAAGCAGGGAGAGGGCACAAGTGAGGTCTGTCGGAGAGTAAGAAAAAAGATGTGGTTGGAAGCGAGTTTTGGAAAATGGAGACTAAGGCTGGATTCTTGTCATGCAGACAATGACAGCCCTGCTTCCTGAGAACAGCGAGCGAGCCACCTGGAAAGGAAGGAGGTAGTGTTAAGTGACCAGCGCCATTCCTGTGTGTCTTTCCGCAGCTGTGAGACAGAAGGGAGGGGGCAGTTCTCCTGCTCCCAACTCTGGGGCCTCGCTGTCCCCTGTGCTTAAGCCAGGAGTGGAGAGACGCTGTCTGTTCCCAGCCTGGCACGTTGTCTTTGGATTTAGAAAGAAATATGTGAATGCACAGTGAGGAAAGCTTCCACTGCACCCACGGCAATTCACAACTTTATGCATTAGTTCATACTCTATCCAGGTAGAAGTATTAGTTTCAGTTTGGGATTCATTGTCTTACTATTATCTAAATGACTGTTCAGCCGAACAGTTAATTCTGCCAGCACCAAGTTATTACTTCAATTTAAATGAGTTCTTTAATAATGAAGAAACAATGAAGAAAAAAGGCTGTTTTTCCCCAAGCATCCCAATGCGTACGGTGCCTTAGGAGAAGGCAACAGGAATCTAAGCACTTTGAACTTCACCCTTTTACATGTAGCAGCTGCCCCGATTTTAAACATCCTTTCTAAGGAGCCGTGGCCCGTGGAGACAGAGCTTCACGTCACTGAGAGCGGGAGGGGGTGGGCATCTCTCCGTCCGCATCGCTGAGTTGCAGGTGGTTCACAGGGCTGGCTCTGTCAGCACCGAGACGTTCTGCGACAGGCTGTGGCAGGTGGGCAGTGCAGAGCGACGGGGCAGCGTGTTGCAACATTAAAGTACTGGCCCGCGAGGATCATCTGGGGCTGAAATGACCAGGGCAATACGCATGGAGAAGTGGGATTCGAAGGGATGGGAGAACTCGGGCAAAGACAGGAGAGTTCAGGAGCAGAGGGAGAGAGGCTGGAGTCCTGGTTGCTTCTTGTAGGATCTGGGGGAAGTGAGCAGACTCTTGGCTTGGAGAGAGGGCTGGTGTAAGTAAGGACTCGGTGGGGATTGAGGAGGAATGATGGGCCTGTTTGGGGAAAGTAGCTCCGCAGGGTAACATGGTGGCTGTGAATACGGGATTGACTGGGATTTGGGATTTATCTAGTTGAGTCAAGGATAACATTCCCCTTGGTGTTGCTAATAAGAGGTAGAAGGGAGGGCTAAGAAAGTTAGTAAAATTACTTATGTTGCCTTCTCAGCTGCATTAATTAAAATATCCTAATGGATTCTCTGGACTCACTGCATATGGGTCGTAAGTGACAGAAAGCATCCGTATAAATCATGTCATGGATAAGAGGTGACAAATAGATGCCTGTTTATGTGTTTTATTTCTTAACGTTGCCATCTGCAAGATGATAGGATCGCTCATATGCCGTGGGTGTAGTTCCTCTGATTTCAGAAAGAAAATTAAACTATTTTAAAAGAACTCCCAGCCTTTGTCTATAGATCAAATGGCAAAGTGTCTCCCAAGAGAAGGGCAAGCACGTTGCTCCCTCCCTAGCAGGGTGATTTCGGGAATCCTAAACTTCACCTTAGAAAGAGAGTGGAGGCTTTTACTGTTGTGTGATGTTTTTGAGCAAAGTGAGAATTTTTTTTCCATCGAGCCTTGTTGAGTGATGATTCATCACTTTGCAGCGTTTCATCTGGCGTGCACAGCCACGATCACGCTATTCCGTTAGGGATGTCACTCAGAAGCAGGAGGAGCACTTCCCTCTGGTCCGCGTTGCGTTTGTAAGCAGAACTACACCTTGGCTCTGGGTGGGGGGTGACGGCTCTGTTACTGAGGCTGTCAGGGAAGAGTCATCCCCGATTCCTTCCGGAGCTCAGGTGCAGTGTTGCCCGAACCGGCCCGGCAGATGTCTTTGGTCTAGCTCTGCCTTAACTTGCCTAAAATATTCTAAACATGTTTCATCTTGTTCTTCTCGAAAGGGAGATGGAGAACAGTTGGGCACCATTCTCAGCATATTTTTCTCACCCAGTTAGAGGAAGGGAGACTCTTAATTCCGGGACCGCTGCGTTTTTAGAACTTGATCTGGGACCTGAGATTATGATGAACTCTTGGAAACCAGAGGTCCCAGCCGGCACAGTGTTGGGACGAGGACCTGCGTCCTCACAGCTACCCAGCCTCTACTTGGTCGCAGTCACAGCAAAGGGACTTGAATGCGAGTCCCTGCATGTCTCTGCCGCGGGTTAGACACGGGGAGGCCTGAGCCTCTCACTTAAACTCCTGGCTTCCCAGTTTCTTGTACACAAAATGAACATGCCGGACTAAATGTCCTCAACAATTTTTTCTGGTTCTAGCATTATATGTGTCTACAGACTGTGACTTAGCATCCTTTAAGTATGTAAATATCCACATGTCAAGGATACCGACTGCCATTTTCCCCATCTTTACTCAGCACAGACGAGAATTCAGATTCAGTTGATGGGCGTCACCCACTCCCATCCTCTAAGTGATTGTGATTCTTTTCATCTCTCTCGCAGCCCCTCCTCACTGGGGCAGCTCCCCCCTGCAGAGCTTGCTTTCTGTTTGTTTCTCACTTAAATATCATATTTTGGTCCGTGACTGTAAGCATCTCATCATCGTTCTCATCCTCCCAGCCTGTTAGTGTTGAAACAGGACTTTATATAACTGAGAAATTGTCATGCAGGGACAGACGCGTAGGCGGAGGATCCACATCAGAATTTTCTCTCCTTTCTCAGGAGCTACTCGGTGACAGCCCACAGCGAACATCCTGTCACCCTTCGTGCCACGGCCAGACCCCACTTGCTAGAGTAGGGGCATAGGAGACTGGACGTGGTGAATGTGGACAGGGGACAGGAAGCTCATTAGCACGTGGGTGACCAAACCCAGCCCCCGGCCCACGTGGACAGCCCCACAAAATCACTCTTAACACAGTAGTTTTAAAGCACTTTTCTTCCTTCTGGAATTTCTTTGTGACTCTTCTCTAAATACTTGATGTGGGACGGAGTTCACGGTTTCCGAACTGGGACCGTTTCATTGTGGAAGGGAGGAGGGCAGCATTTCATAACTCGCTCTTCTTTCCTTTGTAATGATTAAAAACCCAAACGCTGGAATGACTGGAGCAGTCTTCCTAATTTTGAAGTGTCACTTCTTGTCAGATTTCAGAAGAAAAGATTGGCCCAAGTGCAAAGGAGCCATCACCTGTGGCCACAAACCTGTCAGGACCACACATCGGGGTGGTTTGTCGCCACATGCCTCCTCTTCCTCAGGACTCCTTCATCCCACTGAAGTCCAGTCCCCCCACATTTCACAATCCCACCTGCCCTCCCAGCTTCTACTCTCCTCCTGTCCCTTAGCCTCGGTCCAGCCACCAGCCGTGCTTTGGCTTTGGTAGCATTTGAGCAGCAACCCCAGCTCAGAGCAGGACGGTGGCTGTAAACCAGCATGGTGCTCTCCTGCGGACTTTTCATGCCTGGGGTGAGATCCGAGGCTACTGGGAAGATCAGAGTGAGCTGCTCCGTAGCAAGACATTTTTAGTAAATTACAGCTCTAGGTGAAGGATTAGAAAGAGCAAAGGAATCTGCACCAGCAGAAAGAGACCGGAGCCAGCGCAAGAACCTCCTACTCCTCTTCTGAGACTTTGGGTAGAAGAGAAACCACAGGCAAGGAACGATTCTGCGCTTCGGCCGTATTTTTATTTGCCAACAATCCGGATTACAATGCTCTAAACCTAGGTGAAGCAACACCTGTTTATTCGATGCTCACAGGAAAGCCCCCGACTATCTGATTCTTTTTTTTCTTTTTTGATCCCCCACTGCTGAAAATCCCACTGCCCACAGGAAGCAGACCTGACGACGGGCATTCAGTGTCACCGCCTCGTTGTGACGCGGTTCTTGCTAAGGCCAAATCCTCCCCTGAGATGTGTGTCTGCGGTTCTAACCACACAAAGGCTAAATTTCATTTTCCTCGATCTTTAGAATTTTATTTACTGTCTCTGAACAGGCCACTGCTGGGTAGAAATGTCATATATATCTGTTTAAAGCAACACGCAGTATCACACACTCTTTGAAACTGTTGCCATTTGATTTAGTGGAGTTTCCACTCGTCTACCTGCCGGGGAGCTGTGTTTCCTCCCACCTTCCTCCAGGACGGGAAGGCTGGCTGTGATCCAAGTGTCTGTCCCTGGACACAGATACCTAATGACGTTCCTTAAGATGCGGGATGACTTGCAGCAGCTCCGTGGAGCTCGGATTCTTCTCTTCCGTGAAGCCGTAACTCTAGCACGAAGGGGCGGGTGCCCTTCAAGACAGGAAACCAAGGCACAGAAAGGTAATAAATTCTCCACGGAGCCCCAGTCTGTAATGCTGTCCCCTGAGTCCGTGCTGGATCGGAGGTAACAGAGTTTTATTTGGAGTAAGTTCAGTATTTTCAGTTTTATTCAAAGTTTAACTTAAAAATCAAAAGCGTCTCTCTCATTCTGGGACGATCTTGCCTGTCTCGGCCCCATCCTCTTCGGCAGCCACGTTCAGCGCCTGGTCCCTTCTGTAGTTGTGTCTCCACATCGGGGCGGAGCACCACGGGGTGGGGACAGGTCTGCCTTGTCCACCCCATAAAGCCTGCGGGGGACCCAGCCCCTGGGGGGGTGCAGCTCAGTAACTGCTGATGAAGTGACGGAATAAAGGGAGAAGCGCCACCCAGGTCCCGTTGGTTCCAGACCGTCCTAGCTTTTATCTTCCGGCATCAGGGCTGCCTCCTCCTGATGTGACTCCGTCCTCCACCACGGGAGGTGGTCACCTCTGAAGGACCAAGAGGGAGAACAAACATCCACGAAGGGGCACAGATCACCTTGACCATGAACTTCGTAACAGCGTGAGGGCCTCTCGGTTTCCTCCACCCTCTGTGCAGAAACCACTCCTTGGCACATCCCTGCGCCCCCAGGGAAAGGGAAAATTCTCCTTCCACTTTATAAGAGCATGAACACTGATCCCTGCACGCCCCTCCGCCCTGCGCAAGACAGCTGCTCTCTTCCTTCCCATTTCCACATGGGGAAGCCTTTTTCTTCTCTCTCCTTCAGTAAGGAAAATCAGCAGTTTAATTGTTTTTAAAACAAGATGAAAGGTTTCTGAAATTCTTTTCTTTAAAAAAAAATCTCTGGAGTGTTTCCCTTTACCAAGAATACTTTTCTCTAAATCAGTATAAAATAGCTTGGTTTATAGACGACATTTCCCACCAAGTGGAATTTTCCGTAAGTGGGTTGGTAGTGAGTCTCACAGCAGTAAATGCAATTATTTTAAATTCTAAACCTAGTATTTTATAAACAGCGTGTGTTAAGCCTGAGCTCCGAGGAGGGCCACGTCAGTCCATGGTGATCTCTGATGGCTCGTGGGACACTCTTCTGAGGCCGAGGGGTTTTCGTGGAGATTAACTTTTATTTGCCAGTGTAGATGAAATCAGCTAACGAGCTGCTGTTTTATCAGGAATAGCAAAGAAAGCTGAATTAACGGCATCCAAGATCTGATCAGGAAGGAGGTTCTGAGAGATCATGTAACAAAATATTTTTTCTGCCTTTAGCCCTAAACCTAGTAAGTAATTTTGAAACCCCTTTGTGAAAAGGTTTTAAAAGGAGGGTAACGTGAGTGACAAAAACATCCACACACAGAGTATTAGGGCAAATTCTGCTTCTTTTCTCCCCAAGATCCTTGATAGAAATCATTTGTTTATGGGAAGGGATTTAGCACGTGATCCTGCTTTTACCTAATACTGGTAACTTTCCAAATGACAGTTCCAAAATTCATTATCGCCCCTTCTCTCATTTTATTTTTTCCTGTACCTACTCACCAAAAGTATTTGAGGCAGCTAAGTTTATTTGTAACTCAGTTGTGTGGCACTTGGAAAACATTTTCCTCTAGAAATGATAGCGTGTGTGGTGACTAGGTTGGGTTCAGTTAAGTAACCAAGTGGTGACCGACCAGAACGTGCTTAGCACTGGACATTCAGAGACCAGAGCAATGTCCTGTCCTCCAGCTGCGGGAGGTCTGGCATTTGACAGTGTGGTTCATGCCACGGTAATGGGGTGTGTGAGCTACAGTGGGAGTCACAGGAGGCGCATGTGTTAATGGGATTTGGGTGAGTGGACCTTTCTTGTGTATCTGTCACCCTTGGGCACCTGGCAGGGACATGAAGTTGTGCTGTCAAGTTTGCCCCGAGCTCCCAGGGCCTCTGCCCCATTTGACGTCTGGTTCTGAGGAGTGGCCCAGCCAGGCTGGCTGAAGAGTCCCGCAGAGCCCTGTGACCGGAACCCAGGGCCTCGACCCCACCAGCGAGGCTCTGTCCTCCTGACACCTGCCATCCGCTCGGAGGAGGTGGAGGAGCCAGCCAGGTGCTGCTTCACGAGGCTTCGAGCCTCTTGTAAACTGTCCGTCGGGCCACAAGGCTGGCACTTGAGTCTCCTTGTAGAGTTCTCACGCCGCCGGCACTCATTTGCCCACTCAGACCAGAGCGCCAGCTCAGGGAGAGCGGGCCTCCTAAATCAGAAAGACATTTACTGTGGTAAATGGCTCCCTCTTGTCAGTTCCCATAAGAGAAGAGTCGAGAAATATGCTCCTTAGCAGGTGTGGGGGAGGAAACTTCAACAGAGCCAGCTCCCAACTCCCCAAGGGCTGCTGCTCCAATTCCTGAGTTCCTTCCCTGGCTTTATAGTTCCGCCTTTCCTTTTGCTGCTACGTTGAGAGCGAACGTAGCAAAGAAAGGACATGCAAAACTTATTTATTTTGCCCTTGTTAAAAAAAAATAAAAATCTGATGGGGAGTTTGGAGGAACTGGGGACTAAAACCTAAGATTAGACTTTGGGGGATTATCTGTGGATCGTATTAAATATTTCTCACTCTCTTAGGCAGAGACGTTCAACAGTGGTTTGTGTACCCTCCCATTCTTGCTCAAGAAGATATTTGTTGTCAACGGAATGAAAGAGAGAATGAGTGAACTAATCCCCTGTTAGTTTTTCTGCAAAAGGACTTTTTTCTTCCGGATTGAAGAAGTTCTCACCTCAACAAACAGTATGTTCTAGGAGGAAGAGCAAGGACAAGAGTCAGGTTGACCTGGTTTCAAATTCCCAACTCTTCCTTGTCTAGCAGTGTGACGTGGGACAAGTTACTTAACTTCTCTGAGGCTCCATGACAACTGTCAGAGTTGTTGAAAGGATCACAGTAGAAAATGTTTGTGAATGACTAACCGGAGACCCAGCTCATGCGGGCACTTAATAGAGGGTACGTCCCTTCTGAAAGGAAGTTGATGTGAAAGCCACTTTCCAGCTGGGTCACTTTAGCCCAGTTACTTGACCTCTCAGTGTCTCTGTGTCCCCACCATAATTTGGGGGTAATGATGATCGTGATAATAGCACTTCCCCGCAAGGAGTGTTGGGGTGAGTTTTGATGCATCCAAATCTCATAGGACACATAAATCAGCATGTGACAAGTACATTATCAGCTATAGCTATTTTTATTTTCTCTACCCTTTTAATTTTTCTAGAAAGTCTGTGCTAAAGACACCTCAATCAGTTGTGTTTTTTTTTGGCGGGGGAGAAAGGAGATTTTACTTGTGAATAAGATTTGCTGCCTCTTCTTGTATATAATTATGCTTTGTGCAAATATATATTGAGTGCCAACTATGCCAGACACCTCTGGTCGCCAGACACCGGCTGGGTAGCCACCACTGGCGGCAGCCACAAGGCCAGGACCAGGGAGTGTGGGAGTAGCACAAAATGAGCCCAGACCCCTGGAATGGCTGACTCTAAACAGTCGCGCTTTAGGACTGAGAAAGCAAGATGAAGTAGCGTTTTTCCCGTTTCACGGATGAGATGAGAGAATGCGAAGAGTGCTGACCGACAGCCCACCGCAGTCCTCAGAGGAGCTGAGGGCAGGCCTAAGGCAGGGTTCCCAAGACAAGACTCCAGCCGTACGCTCCGCTGCACTCTAAGCCCCGTGAAGGCAGGGGACGGGCCAGGGGGACGGGCTTCCCCCAGCGGGGTGCTATGCAAAGGCCAGAAGTGCTTCCCTGACTTGATGTGAAGCAACATAACATACTCCAGACCCCAAACGGAGCATTCCCTGGCTGTGTCAGCCTGGCCTGAGCTGCAGCACTCAGCGCTGCCTCCCATAAAATAGCCACCTGGTACGTGTTTGTTGATTGATTGAATTGGGTTGATAATAATCTCCACTTATACACACACACACACACACACACACACACACACATACACACACACGCAATGCCTTCATTTTTTTTCTAATTAAAAAAGCCAACAAATATTAAAATACAATGGGTCATCTCTCTCTCTCTGCTCAATTTTCACACCCACAGAAAGTTCAGCCTGAATGAATGGCAGAGAAAAAAGAAAAAAAAAACAAAACCCTAGAAACGATCTTCAGCATTTAAATGGTCAGGTCGTGTCTCTTCTCTTGACAGCTCCTGAAGTCCTCGCGCAGAAACCCTACAGCAAAGCGGTCGACTGCTGGTCCATCGGGGTGATCGCCTATATCCTGTGAGTACTGCTGCCGCCTGGGCTTCTTGGCCAGCGCCACCCCCCACCTTTTATTTATTGTGGCAAAAAGCACATAGCATAAGATTTATCACCGGCCATGTTTAAGGGTACAGTTCAGTGGCATTCGGTATTCTACATTCGCAGTGTGGCGCAACTATCACCACTGTCAGCTTCCAGAACTTTTTCATCACCCCAAACAGAAACCTGCACTCCTCAAGCAAGAACTCCCTTTACCCTCCTCCCCAGCCCCTGGGAACCTGCACTCCGCTTTTTGTCTCTAAGAATTTGGCTACTCTAGGGACTTTATATAAGTGGAATCATATATAATAGTTGTCCTTTTGTGGCAGGTTTATTTCACATAGCGTAATGTGTTCAAGTTTCTCCACGTGGGAGCACATGTCAGAATGTCCTGCCTTTTCAAGCTGGATGATAATATTCCATCATATGGATACACCACACTGTCCATCCACTCATCCATTGATTGATGTTTGGGTTGTTTTCACCTTTTGGAATCATGAATAATGTTGCTGTGATCATGGGTGCACGAATATCTGTTTGAATCTGCTTTCAATTCTTTTGAGGATGTATCTAGAAGTGGAGTTGCTGGTTCACATGGTAATTCTATGTTTAATTTTTGAGGAACCGCCGTACAGTTTCCTACAGGGGCAGCACTGTTTACATTCCCAGCGCAAGCGCACGGGTTTCCGGTTTCTCCACGTCTACACCAGCACTTGTCACTTTCCCCGTTTTTGATGATAGCCATCCTTCTGGGTGCGAAGTGGTGTCTCATCGTGGTTTTGATTTGCACTTCCCTAATAGCTAGTGACACTAAGCCTCTTTTCATGTGCCTCCTCGACTTTCAGGGGGATACAAACCACTGTGAAAATATTACTATGTCTCCAAAAGTCATCATTTTAAAAAATGTAATGAAAATCAAAATTTAGCCTTTGGATTTCCAACTTCTCAGACGTCTTATCCTCATAACCTAGCAAATGCAGTTCTAGGCCCTAGGCTTGTTGCAATTATATAAGGATTTCTACTTTGTGTCTTACTTGTTTTGCTTAAGTCTACTATGAAGTTATTTTTAAATTACACTTTCTCTTTGCAGTTATGCTTTCAAATGCGTATTATGAAACATACTTCTAAGATGGGTGGTTTAGGCCAACTAGTTTCTATGATTGCTAGAAAATGAATTTCCTGTCCTCCCCATCCCCAAGGAAGGGAACATTCTCGAGTGTAGCAGACGGAGCCCCCTGCACACAATGGAAGACTACAGGGGACGGTGATTGGAGACAGTTCTGACAGTTTGTGGCATCCTGTTCTCTTCCGGGAATGCTGGAAACATACCCCCGGTACGGGCTTCGCCTCATTATCCTGGAAGCAAATGCTCTTTCTCCAGCCTATGTTCAGCTGGGCAGCTTTTGCAGTTTAATGTGGATTTAGGTGACAGCTCCTGTAGATTCTTGCTATTATCACAGGAGAATTTCATCCATAATAATATGCTTTGCCTATTGGACTCTCATTTATGGAAATAGGTAAAGGGCAGGGTCGTCTGAGCTCTAAAACTAAGATGTTGCACTTGTATAATGCTTTCACTTTCAAAGTGAATCTTCTGCAGAAGTGTCATCCTTTTGTGGGGGAGGTAGGTTACCGACCCTTTTGAGAATCTAATAAAAGTTATAGGTGCTCTCCCCTAATAAAATCACATGCACGCACAGTTTTGCATACCATTTTGAGGGAGGCGGGCATTCCCAGGTAAGCAGACGTGGAACATGGGCCCTGTTATTCACCCTGACTCCCTAAATCCTCAATTAAAATTCTTATCGGAGGTCCTGCCTTGCTCAGCTTGCCTATGAAAGGCTTAATAAAATAAATGGTAGGCCAGTCTCCTTCCTGCAAAGCACTGGAGGTGGTACCCTTCATCTAGAGAAATCTTCCCTGGGGCTGGGAAAAAATAGCCCCTTTTTTGGCCCTCTCGTTGTTCCTTTATGTCTGCTCTGAACCCCGAACCACTATTCTGGTCTGCACTGTTGTCTATAGACTCCTTTTGGGTTTGTATATGTAATTGTTTCCCTGAAGTCTTTGCCTTCAGGGCAAAGGGTAGGGTATCTGTATAGCTACTAGGGGGTACATGTTGACAGATGTTTCTTAGAGTTGCTGGGATTAGCAATTTGAAACCATGATGTCTTAGCTCAGGCTGCTATAACAAAATGTCACACAGTGGGTAGTGTATACAACAGACATTTAATTCCCACAGTTCTGGAGGCTGAAAGTCCAACATCAAGGAGCCAGCTAAATTCAGTTCCTGATGAGGGCTCTTTTCCTGGCTTGCAGACAGCCGCCTTCTTGCTGTGTCCTGACATGGTGGAGAGCAAGCTCCCTAGTGTCTTTTCTAAACTAGTCAATGGCAAAGAATATGGGATCATCATGGTTGGCCAAGTGAAGCAGGTGACAGTGTGGAGGAGGGGAAAGCCCCGAGTAAAATCACAACCCTGCTAGTGAAGAAGACCACAGGAAGTGGATGGGCAGTGGGCGACTAACCACGTCTGCCGTGGCCCATGGTAGGAAAGTGTTGGAAGGAAGGCCAGTGTGGTTAGAGCTGGCATCAAGACAGGATATCAGAATGCGACACTCGAGAAGTAGGCTAGTGCCAGAGCAAAGGGAGACTTGATAGAAAGTTTGGATGTTAACCCAAGGATAATGGGAAGCCAAAGAAGGATTTTGAACAGAGGTGTGACCCAACCTGATTTACATGAGGGCATTGTTCTGGCCACTCTGTGAAGAAGGTATTGGAGGGGCAAGTGTGGAAGGCGGAGGCTGGTTGGGACCTCTGGTCAGAGGAGCGATGAGAGTTGCTTCCCCGGGAGAGGCAGCGATGGGGGAGAGAGGTGGAGAGAGCTGAGACGTGTGTTGGATGTGGGGCACGAAGGAGAAGGAGGTTTCAAGTATAAGTCCAAGTTTTTGGCTTAAGCAACCATGTAGGTGATTAAGACAAAAGAAAGGGGCATTGTAGAAGAACAAGTTTAGGGGGTGGGTGGGTGGCATTGAGAATTTAGTTTTGGACACATTAAGCCTGAGACCCCTTTGAGGTATCTGCTGAACAGCGTATGCACACGTGGAGCTCGGCAGAGGTCTGGGATGGGGATGTGGGCACATCCGTCTGGGCATGACTTGAACAATGGTGCGTCCAAACCCTTTTAATGCCAGTGTACTCTGCACTGTTGGCCAGCGTTCAAGTGTAGTATTGCGCAAACCCATACCATATTTCTTTACCTCTATTTTGAGTATAAACGTGATGAGTGCAGGCTTGGTGGTTTTCTGGTCACCACTAGAGACTAGTCTCGGGTCAGTTTCACGACTGTCAGACTTGAAGGTGGCGGCCTGGGCTTCTGTTTTCCTTGGCGCCTTCCAGAGTTCTGAGAGCCCCATGCAGAGAATAAATGAACTTTGGGACATCTCAGTTGTATCCTATAGGTTGTTCAGACCCCTATGGGCGATAGGCCAAATCCCGGATGTAATTTGGTGCATAACATGGCTGTGTTTTGTAGAACCACCAGCCTTGAATTTATTATCCTCAGTAGATCAATCTGCATGAATCATCTTGTCTCACCACGCAGATTGTTAGTACTCTGATGAGAGGCATCGAGTGTTTGTCATCTTTATATTGCTAGCACCTAGCACGGTGCCTGGAAGGGAGAAGGGACTCGAGGAAGGCTGGTTGTTGACACTGATGGTGAGGAACTCGGGGCTGGTGGCCTGGCACGCAGGCGGCTTGTGCCCAGCTGCAGGAGTTCCTGGAACGAGGTGGTCATTGAGAACAGGGACGTCCAGGAGTGCCTGAGCTGAGGCTTCATGAAGATCCCCTGTGGGCGTTCTGTGTTCTGCTTTGGTGTTGATGGTACAGGTTGGCACTGGATTGAGCCAGCATTAGAAGGTAGAACTTTCCAGTCTCGGTCTCAGACTCCTGCTCCCTCCCACGGCTCCCACCCGTGTCTGCAGACGTATGAGCAAGGCCTGGAGCAGTCCCCGACCAACAGGCAGCTCCCCCGTGGGGACCGCACAGCGCTCCTCATCCTTCCCGCCAACCGTAATGGAGAGGAGGTCAGCCCCTGCGGGTTTCTGGAGTACAGCACTATTATTTTCATTTGCTAAACCTGTCACGCTGAGATGTCACACTGCAGCCACAGCGGCTGTGACAGACCGCAGTGCCACATTTTCTCCTCTCTGCACACCATGTAGACGTGCCTCGATTTGGTGGTGCAGGTATTTGATGAATTGGCTGTCTTTTGGTCTCCATGCTTACTTCTCTGTCATCCATCATTTGGAAGGAGAAAGATTTTTTCCTACCGAGGATACTCATTTTTTAAAACACATGTGATGGGTCCTCATCCTGCCAGGAATCTTCCTCTGGGGATTAGGACTCGAAAAGAAGCCTTTGCCCACGTCGCTTATGCTGTAGGGAAGGGCTGTGGGTGGAGTGGGTGGAGTGGGTGGGGCCCATGATGAGCGTGTCAGTGGCCACTGTGACGGGCACAGCTCCACCAAGACAGCACAGGTTCCAGGCACCTGACTCCCCACTCAGGATGAGCAGCGGGTCTCATGCACCAACCTCGACTTTGTGATAGCACGTAGTCTCTTTCTGTGCACAACTCCAAGGAGATTATTTAATGATCATTTGCCCGAATCATGCACAGGGATGCCACATGCTATGGAGAGATGCAGTGAATTTTTTCTGAAATAAAAGCTGAGGCCAGCCCAGTGGCTCACGCCTGTAATTCCAGCACTTTGGGAGGCCAAGGAGGGAGGATTACTTGAGCCCAGGAGTTTCAGACTAGCCTGGGCAACATAGCGAGACCCCCATCTCTACAAAAAATAGATAAATTAGCTGGGCATGGTGGTGTGCACCTGTAATCCCAGCTACTCGGGAGGCTGTGGCAGGAGGATCACTCGAGCCCAGGAATTTGAGGCTGCAGTGAGCTATGATGATATCACTGCACTCT